ATATGTAATCAAATAATTTGTCCACATCATCACATTATATGTATTCAAATATGCTATCCACACCATCACAGCGTATGTATTCAAATAAGTTTTCCACATCATCACATTATATGTATTCAAATAAGTTGTCCACACCATCACATTGTTATATTCAAATAAGTATAAGCCGCCCAGATCATCGTATTGTATGTATTCCAATAATATACTAGTATCAGTTTACGGGGAGTTTTCAAATGTCAATAGTGTATTCGGCGGGCTAGAAAACCAAAAAATCAATAAAATTACATTTAAAATAATATGTATATAACGTTGTATGGTTTTATACACAGCAATCACCGATCCATGCGCCAATAACCCGTGTCTTAATAATGGTGTGTGCGAGGCGTCACTCAATTCATGCGCTGATTATGTATGTGTGTGCACAGGATGCTGGGTAGGAACTAACTGCCAAACATGTAAGTACGAAGTATGCATACCAGTTATCGAAAATTATTATTATTAATACTTATTAATAAATAGTCGACTGTTAGTTCATAAATTTCCTGGTAGTTGTTGGTCCCTAGTACATGTACATGTATAACATGGGAAGAGTAGCATTCTGTACTTTTGTAAAAAAAAATATGATTATAAATGTATGATATCTCTAAGAGTATAATAATTAATGTCTTTGCGAAAATGGGAGTATCGTCATTGCTAGGATCATTTGCAGGTTATCGGACAATGCATTTTTCTTTTGCTGTCGCACATTAAAATAAGAAAACTGTTGCCCGGGAGTCACTAGTAGAAACCTACCAACGGGTATGCAAGGTACACAAGGGGTCTACAAATTATGAATGGGCAAGGGCACCTTTTTGACATCTCACGGGTCAACGGGAGCCGTTGCTGAAATTCACAGGAATCAAAGCTATGTTTTACCACTTAAAAGTTTGGTTCTTAAAATTTGTTTTAAGGGGTGAGTTTTTCTGGAAAATTTGTTTCAAGGGGTGGGTTTTTCTGAATTTTTTTTTTCAAGGTATGGGTTTTTGAGAAATTTGATCCTCAGGTCGTGACTTTCATCAAGGTTGGTTCCTCGCATACACGTATATAAATGTGACTCCCGGGAACCTCACTAACTTTTTTGGCGAGGAAAACTATAGTTTCTGTGCATTTATATTTCTAGACGTGAATCCTTGTACCCAGAATCCTTGTCAGAATAATGGAGTCTGCACAGCTGTTCAGGGATCGTGTAATTCCTACACGTGTCAGTGTTCACAGTGTTATACCGGACAAAATTGCAATACGTGTAAGTATGCCAA